TAACCATTGTCATAGGGCAACATGTGTACTAACTGTTAAATGAGAAACTATTTTGTTCTGTAAGCCTTCATCTAAAGTGAGAATAGCAGCACAATTGGAACAGGGTAGTTGATGTCGCTGAACTCTGCATGTAGAAATTTTTGAAATGGTGTATCTTTGGCTATGTATAGTTTCACCAAAAAAAAAAAAAAAAACATATAGAAGGAAGAGGGTTGACATGTTGTGGGGTTGTTAGCCAATGTCATAAAACAATATGTGTACTACTGTTTCATGAGAAACTGTTTGTTCTGTAAGCCTTCACCTGAAGTACAATAAAAAGAAAAAAAAAACCACCACCAACAACAAAAAATCTTCCCTGCCTCTCCACATCCCCCATTCCCACTCCTAGGACAAAATTACTTTAGAATCTTTAAGCCATTTCTTTCTGTAATTGACTCCATATCTCCAAATGATACGCTTATTTGATGATTTGAGTGTAGACACTTCTCAGGATGGTTCTTTAAAGTGCATCCATTGGATTTATGAGAAGCTGGGTGTGTGCCCATGTTTTTCTCACTTCCTCTGGCCAGCGCTGGTCCCTGTGGTTGGCTGCCTCTGCTCCGTGCCACTGCTTACTGTCCCCAGTGCCCAGGGGCGGCCAAGCATGAGAGCAGGGTGAGTGCGGCTCCTCTGTGCCCCACCTAGTCACCCCAGCAGGGAGCAGTTCTTGATCTGGCCTCTTTCAAAACACGCATACACACACACGTACACACGCTCTCGGACACGGAGGCTGTCTCCTACGTGTTGCTTGGGTCCACAACAACCTCCTGACTTCCCTGCTTTCTTTCAGTCCACGGCTCTCAAGCTTTCTGCTGATAGAGTGAACTGTTAAGCTCCTAAGACCTTCAGTGGCTCCCTGACACCTCTAAGATCTAAGGTTGTGCAAGGCAAATCTGACTCTCTGACTTGCTGTGGCCGTCCCTCCTGCTGCTCTGCTCGCCGCTTCATCTCCCACCCCGCCTGTTGAGTACGGTGCTCCCACGTCCTCGCTGTGCTCCTTCTCAGCCCTGCGCCCTTGCCCCAGCTGGGCCCTCTGTTGAGAACTGTGCTCCCACGTCCTCACTGTGCTCCTTCTCACCCCTGTGCCCTTGCCCCAGCTGGGCCCTCTGTTGAGTACCGTGCTCCCACGTCCTCGCTGTGCTCCTTCTCAGCCCTGCGCCCTTGCCCCAGCTGGGCCCTCTGTTGAGTACCGTGCTCCCACGTCCTCGCTGTGCTCCTTCTCACCCCTGCATCCTTGCCCCAGCTGGGCCCTCTGTCAGAATACTCTTCTAGCCCTTCACCTTCCTCTTGCCGCCTGATCCCTAAAGCCTCAGTGCAGAGACTGCCTTTCAGGAAGACCTCCCCTCCCCAGTCGTTCCCTCATCTTCTGCCCCGTCCCATCCTGGGGGAGACGCCTTCCTTCCTCCTTCTCCCTGGCACATCTGCATCAATGTGCTTGCCACACTGTTGTATTTATCTCGTAGGCTATGGACGTTTTGAGGGTCAGGGCTGCAACTTGTCTGTCATATATATTGGTCACCTGGCATAGTTCCTGGCATACAGTAGGTGCTCGACAAATGTTTGAGTGAGTGAGTGGGGGTGCTCACGTGACACTTAGCTCACATTTTGTGGTGTCATGGTTGCTGGTGTGTCGTGGTCACCTATGAGTGTAAGATCTTTGAGGTCAAAGACCATTTCTCACTTATCTGAGCCTTCCCGACAGCACCCGGTGCTGACAGTAAGCGCGCACAGCTCTGTTCATGCTGAATGAGTGAAGCGACAGGTGGGCCAGAGCCCTGGCCTAATCCCCAGCATTGGCAGAAACAGCGGGGCCAGTCAGCCCTGCCAGGCCCTGCCTCCCCTGGGCCTTCCTGGGCCCCTCCGCCCTAGAGTAGCCAGCCCAGCTGCAGAGGGGAGGCCCTCACCCCCCACATCCCTTCTGGGACCCACTCAGAAACGGAAGAAAGAAGATGTAATGAGGAGCCCTGGACCGCCTCCGCTGGCTGAGGACCGGAGTGGGGGATGGGATGGAGACAGGGGGCAGAGTCAGGACACACCCCATCCTTCTTTTTTTCTTGTGTAAAATGTATGGTATATACGTAAGAGTGTGTAACGTGCATAGAGACGTTGTAAAGAATAATAATAAAACTAAATCCTGTGTACCCAGCACCCTAATCAAGAGAACATTTCAAGTACCTTAGAAGCCTGTGTGCCCCTGCCTGACACATTTCCCTGGAGGAAACACCATCCCAAATCTGTGGTAACCCTCTCTTACTTTTCTTTATGGTTTCCTAGCTCTGTATGTAAGGAGCCCTGGTAGCACAGTGGTTACGCTCAGGTGCTAACCAAAAGGTCAGTGGTTCAAACCCACCAGTTGTGTTGCGGAAGAAAGATGTGGCAGTCTGCTTCCATAAAGCTTTGGAAACCCTATGGGGCGGTTCTACTCTGTCCTATAGGGTCGCTATGAGTCGGAATCGACTTCTTGGGTACCTCTGTAGGTATCCCTAAACAATACTGCCTGGGTTACCTATTTTGAAACTTTCTATATTTGGAATCATACTACACATATTCTTCTGTCTCGTTTCTTTTGCTCATCATTATATAGTCTTTAAAGATTCATTCATGTTCATGAGTAGAGCTGTAATTTGTTCCTTGTTTTTCTTGCATAGTATCCCATTGTATGAAAATACCACAGTTTAATTATCCATTCTACTGTTGATGGATGTTTGGGCTGCTTCCAGTTGGGGGCTACCCTGAAACCTTCCCCTACGTGTCTCTGGCGCCCGTGTACAAGTTTCTCCAGGTACATTCCCCAAATGGAATTTCTGTGCTGTAGGGTATGCCCACTATCAACTTTACTAGGTAACTCCAAACTGTTTGCCAAACTTGTACTTCTATATTTTTTAGAATGATGCCCTAGAGGTGACCCAGGCAGAGGTGGCATGCCAGCCACAGGGCCACACCCAGGAGCTTATTTTCAGCAAGAGGGAGAAGTCAGATGGCAAAAGAGTGGGTGTCACTATTTCCCTGCCCAGCCCCATAAACCACATGTTCAACAAACCTTTACAGAGAAGCTACCAAGAGCCAAGCCCCGGGCTGGGGAAACAGTGCTGAGTTAGCACAGAGCAGCCCCAGAGAGGGACACTTAGGTTCTGCTTTCTGTGCTGGGCAGCCCAACACAGCTTTGCCCTGGGAGAGATGGAAGGGTAAGGGCTTGACAGGTGAGTGGGAATTTTCTCGAAGACAGGAAAGACCCTCCAGGCCCAGCGAACGGCACAGGCAATGTCTCTCATCCTCAGAGGTGAACAGTGGGTGGTTGGCGGCAGTGCGGGGGGGCTACCGTTGCTGGCAGTAGAGGGTGGGAAGGAAGAAGAGAAGACCAGGGCTATGCTGGCTCCCAGAGAGACAGACACACCTCCAGCTGCATACAAGCGCACCTGTGTCCTTGTGCTCATCTAGAGGCAAACATGGTGGTGTTGGGGGCACACGGACTCACACACCTCCCACACACCAAAAGGCAGGCTGGTTGCCACGCTGCAGGAGCAGAGGCAGGGAGTGTGAGCCAACAGCTGCCACGGGAGATAAGCCCGGCACCAGGGGCCACCCTCCCCGCCTGCCTCAAGAGTCCACCTTGCGTGTCCGCCCGGGCTACCACGAGCTGGTCTCCTCTGCCAGTGATGTGTTTTCAGGACAACCTGGGAGTCCCCACCCCAAAGCTTGTTCTATTTATGGGGGAAAAAAACCCAAACTCATTGCCATTGATGTAATTAGACTCGTGGTAACCCCATGTGTTACAGAGTAGAACTGAGCTCCATAACGTTTTCCTGGCTATAATCTTTACAGGAAGCAGATTGCCAGGCCTTTCTTCCACAGCACTGCTGGGTGAGTTCGAACCACCAACCTTTTGGGTTAGTAGTTGAGTGCAAACTGTTTGGGCCACCCAGACGCTTTTTTATTTATGGAAATGGAGTAGAAAAGTCTTTTAGTCCACACTTGAGCCCTGTCCGATGCTCCCAGGCTAGGGCGGGGTCCGGTATATAGCAGGCCTTGGGAAATGTTGATTGTTGAAGTAAAATTTTTTAATTAAATTCACTGTAAGACCTATTAGGCTTGTGAATAGGGGATCAGGGCCAGGGGGAAGGGGGAATCTGAAATGAGACACTGTAAGAAAGGAAGACTCCATGTCCTCCATAATCAGCCTGCAGCCTGCCGAGTCCCTCCTTTCTCCCCAGACTCCCACGGCTGGCCAAGGGAGCAAGGGTGGGGGTCAGGGCCGTTGCGAGGTTGCTAATTAAGGCTGGACGTATGTTTTATATGACTGCAGCTGCCTAGCAGAGCTGCGATCTGCTCCCCAATGCCGAGGCTGCTCCCAACGCCCAGAGTGGGCTACAGCTCAAGCTAAAGAATCACCACCCAGATATGCAGACCGAGCTCTGCTGGTGCCAGGCCCTCTCAGCATCTCCCTCTCTGCCCCTTCTTCCAGGTGTCCTGGGCAGAGTTCACCTCGTGGTCCCTCAAAGCCAGAGAAGGGGGTGGGGATGGGAAACAGGCAGTCCTCTGGGATTTCTGTCTCCCCCTGGGTGCCCTCACTCCCCAGGGAGGCCGCTGGCTCCACATTGGGCACCCCACCACCAGGGTCTGCTCACCCCCCCCCACACACAGACAGACAGACAGACAGACAGACAGACAGACAGACAGACAGACAGACACACACACACACACACACACACACACACACACACACACACACGCCCCAGTTACTGACCCAGAGGCCTATCAGAGACCTTCAAGCTGAGTCCTTCTGCTCTCCCCACCCACACCTCCAAGGGGGTGGAGACTCCTGTGAGCCCTGGAGAGAGGCTTGGGGGTGGAGCTGGAGCCTCAGAGCGTGGAGCCTGTCGCCAACAGGTGACAAGATGATCTCTCCGTAGGACAGGCTGTTAGTCTTCTTCTTGCCCTGCCTCAGACATCTGCAGCTGCCTCAGAGCTAACCTCATCTAAACTTCATCTCTTGGCCCCTAATGAGCCTGCGAGGACTTCCTTGTGACCCACCAAACCAGTCCTTCTGTCAGGAACACACTTGCTTGTCCAGCATCCTCATCCAGGGCTACTTGCCCCCCAGCTGGCACACCCAGCCTCAGCCCACTTAACCAACCTGCCCCTCCACCCACCAATCCCCAGCTCAGCTATGGACAACCCGCATTTACTGAGAGGCCACTATGTGCCAGGGGTAGCAGGGATTTAAAATCAGAGGAGCTTCCAATTTTGGTTGGGGAGATAAAAACAGATCATTTCAATGACTCCAGTCAATTCTCATGTTACCCATTCTTGGGGACCCAGCAGGAGTATCACCCACCCAAACACCCAGCTCTCTGGTTTGCTACCGTGTCCCCGGCACCTCGGTGTTGTTAGGCGCTGTTGAGTGGATTTCAACTCATAGCGACCTCATGAGACAGGGTAGAACTGCCCCAAAGGGTTTTCTAGGCTGTAATCTTTACAAGAGCAAATCACCAGGTCTTCCTCCTGAAGAGCCACTGGGTGGATTTGAACCAACAACCCTCAGCACTTTGCTCCTAGCTTACTGGAGGTGCCCAATAAATACTTACAGATTGAATGCCTGCTCTGGGACGGGGTAGGGGTGGGGTGGGGGGCTGCAGGAGGGGACCACCTTTCTTCTCACCCCTCCCCTCATCTTCTCTAAAGAAAATCAGATGGAACAAAAACACCAAGGCAGCCGGGGGCACAGGGCAGTAGCGGGCAGGGGAAACCCCAAGTCTTTGCCTTGAACTGAATTCTCAGATCTTGCTTTGTTGTTGTCAGTGGCCATGGAGTCGATTCCACCTCATGGCGGCCCCATGTATGCCAAGTAGAACTGCTCCATAGGGTATTCAAGGCTGTGACCTTTCTGAAGCAGATCTTTCTAGTAGCAGCTAAAAGGGCAGGGTTCTGCGGCCACAGCGCCTAGCTCCTTGGGGGAAGCCATCTGAACTGCCGAAGCCAGAAACATAACTTTTCTGCCTCCAGATTTCAGAGTCTGCCCTGTCAAACCCATAACACTGTAATTCCAGTCGTCGGATGAATCAAGTCAGTGAGTTTTATAGTAAAAATATACACAAATCACTAAACTCACAAACGTTGGGAACTCGGAGGCCAAGGTAAAGAACGTTCCTGAAAACACAGCAAAGGAGGCCAGAAGACGCGGGTCTGAGGGCAGGGGGCAGGGCCTGGCATGAAGTGTGGCTGCAGGAGGTGGTATTCTAGCTAAGCCCAGCACTGCGGCCACCTAGCAAAGCAGTCAGACAGTGTTGCCACTGCAGCGCGGGCACAGGCCTGATTTCTCCGCCCGTCATTCATTTATCCCTTTGTCACTTGGTAATTGTTCCTGAGAAGCTACCTGTGCAGGTACTCTGCCAGGCCCTGCGGAAACAGAAGGACCCAACACAGACGTGGTTCTCACCCTCGCCTGGTGGGGAGACGGCCTCAGGCAGGAATCGCCCCGCTTTGGATCTAGGGAGGGAACATCACATGTGCAGGAGGGCGAGATCAGCGAGCCTGCTGCCTGGGGCCACCTCAGTGGTCAGTTCGAGATTCCGATCTTTATCCTGAGAGCGGGCAGGAGCCACGGAGAGGTTTTCAGCAGGAGAGTGATGTGATGCGATCTGTGTTTTGGAAAGATCCCTCTGGCTGCTGCGTGGAGAACAGGCTGGGGGTGGGGTGGGGCCGAGCGGATGCGGGAAACCAGGGAGGCGGCCGCTGGGGCTCGGGCTGGGCTGGGGAGGAGGAGGTGAAGATGCGAGGCATTTCGGAGGTTAATGAAGGACAGGCTGTGACGATGGATTAGATATGGGTGGTGGCTGGGCAGGGAGAGGGAGGTCCCGAGGATGACTCGCAAGCTCCTGGCTTTGGAAACTGGGTGGGAGGTTGTGTCTTTTCTCAAAAATTGAAACACTGGGAGAGGGCTGGGTTTGCCTGTAGCCGGAATTTGGTGGCAGTGTATCTGATGTTCTTGAAAGCCCACATTGTTATTTCAGTGTCAAAGTGAGTGCAGGGGGCAGGGGACAGGTACTTTTGGTGAGGCTTTGCAAAAGGAATATTCTTTTTTGTAAAGAAATATGGCAATCCACTGGCAACATTTTGCCTCCAATCTAATAGTCCGATGAACTTTGCTCACAGCAACTTCATGTATAAAATCCAAATGAGTTACTAGCAGACACTTGGGAAACAGACGAATAGGGACTTGTTTGAGGAAGCTCCTTTAGGAACGAGTGCTGGAGGACTAATTAAAAGTGACAAGGTTGGGATCTGAATTCCAGCTCTGCAACTTATTAGCTGTGTGACTCTGGGTAAGTTGTCTAACCTCTCTGTGCTTCAGTTTCCTTATCCATAAAATGTGAATAATAATAGTACCTATTGCATAAGACTAAAGAGGATTAAAAGAGAGTGTATAAAGGATTTAACACAGTGTCTAGCTCATGGAATCTCTCCAAAAATGTTACCTATTACTACAGAATATACCCCCACAGACAGAAACAATGCTGATTTCTTGCCCATAATTCTCTTCAAAAAAAGAAAGAATTGTTACTTATATAACCAAGCATGATTTTCACAAGTCCACTTGTAAGATTTGCTTTTAATAAAATAATACAAATTAGGAATGTTTTTTGTCAGAGCACTTGCTGGAGTCTTGACATCACCCGCACAGGTATTTGTTGTCCGGCCCAGCCTTGCTTGGGTCGTATATTTTTTGCTGGGTCCTTCCATTTCAGAGGGGCTATGCTCTGCTGGGTGGAGTGGAAATTTTCCAAGGTCAGAAGCAATGCTATCTGCATGACCTTCTGGGTCCCCTTGGTGCCTGAACAGTGGGGAGCGAGTGGCACTGTGGTTTGGGTTAGCAGAGTACTTGTAGCTCAGACTGTAATCTGGGGACCTCCCGGGGATGTTTCTGCTGGGAAGGGCTTGGCTGTGGGTTCAGGGAGGCTGAAGGAAAATGGCAAATGGACCACAGGTGATTCTCTCTCTCTGCTCTTGGTTTCGGGAGACTAGAGAAGTCTGTGGCTGGGGCTGGAAGCCTGGAGGACATGGAGCCATCTCACCGCGAGGGGGTGAGATTAGGCGCCCCACTGATCATCTCTGCAAGTGCAGGGGAAGATGGCTGGGGCCAGAGAGACAGCCCTGGAGTTGGGAAGGAGGGGTGGAACACTACAGACTGCGCAAGCCACTGCGAGAGAGGCCGCCAGCCCCTCCTGGCCTCCCACAGACACGGCAAAGGGAGGCCTCCAGCCTGACTGAGGCCAGAGGGGCCATGCTGCAGCTGGGTGTTCAGAACAGAGCCACAGTCGGGGCTCCAGGTGGGGGACAAGAGCTGCAAACAGGAACTGCAGGACTAGATGCCAGTATGGAAACGGGCAGACTGAATTGCTAACACTTCTGAGGGAGTCCCTGGGTGGCGCAAATTGTTAGGCACTTGACTACTAACCAAAGGTTAGCAGTTTGAACCCACCCAGAGGCGCCTCGACAGACAGGCCTAGCGACTTGGTTCTGAAAGTTCACAGCCTTGAAACCCCTATGGGGTAGTTCCACTCTGCACACGTGGGGCTGCAATGAGTCGGAACCGACTGATGGCAACTAACAAGAACAATGCTTTTGGGGCACTTGCTGCAGGGCAGGCACTGTTGTAAGTACTTGCTATGTTTTAAGAAGCTACAGAGGCAGGACTCCTACTCGGAGAATCTGGCTCGGGAACTCATATTCCTCACCACTAACCAAAAAAATCAAACCCATTGCCATCAAGTGGATTCCAACTCACACAGCGACCCTAGAGGACAGAGTAGAACTGCCCCATAGGGTTTCCAAGGAGCAGCTGCTGGATTCAAACTGCTGACCTCTTGGTTAGCAGCCAAGCTCTTAAACACTGCACCACCTGGGCTGCTTTTAACCACTATACTATGTGAAATGCAGAAAGAGTAAAGTTTTAGACCTACAGAGGGTTAGACCTCTGCTTAACCTTTATGCTAAATGTCATATTAAAATACAAAGTAAAGGTTTTGGAGCTCTGCCAAGCTCTGCTGCTTTCTAGCTGTGGGGTGTGTGTGTAGCTTGTGTCACTGTGTTTTTTTTTTGTGTTAAACATTTTATTGTGCTTTAGGTGAAAGTTGGGAAACCCTGGTGGGGTAGTGGTTAAGCGCTACAGCTGTTAACCAAAAGGTCAGCAGTTCAAATCCACCAGGCGCTCCTTGGAAACTTTATGGGGCAGCTCTACTCTGTCCTACAGGGTCGCTATGAATCGGAATCGACTCGACGGTAGCAGCTTTGGTTTTGGTTTGAGATGAAAGTTTACATAAACAATTAGTTTTCCAATCAATGATTCTCACACTAATTGTTCTGTGACGTTGGTTGCACTCCCCACAACGTGTCGGCACTCTCCCCATTTCCTCCCTGGGTTCCCCGTTTCCATCAGTCCCGCTTCCCTGGTCCCCCCTTGCCTTCTCTCCTTGGCTTTGGGCAAATGTTGTCCTTTTGGTCTGCTATAGTTGATTGTTCTAAGGAGCACATTCTTCACGGGTGTTATTGTTTATTTTATAGCCCCGTCTATTATTTGGCTGAAAGGTGGCTGGCCTCTGTGAGTGTCTTCAGTTTCAAATTAGAAGGTTGTCTTAGGGCAATAGTCTTGGGGGTTCCTTCAGTCTCTTTCAGACCGGTAAGTCTGTTTTTTTTTCTGTTTTTTAATCTGAATTTGGTTCTACATTTTTCACCCCTTTTAACGGGGACCTTCTATCGTGATCCTGGTGTCTAGCTCCGTGAGATCTTGGGCACCTACTTAGACTCTCTGGGCCTCAATTTCCTCATTGGTTTGTAAATTTGAGAACAATATTGACCTTCCAGTGATGTCGAGGATTAAATAAGAAAATGTACTGTTGAATGGATGAAACTGGGGACATTATGCTGAGATAAGTCAATCACAAAAGGACAAATATTGTATGAGACGGCTACGGTAAAAACTCATGAAAAGCTTTATACACAAAAAGAAACAATCTTTGATGGTTAGGAGGGATGGGAGGGGTGGGAGGCGGAAATATTAAATAGACAATAGATAAGTGGTAACTTTGGTGACGGGTGAGACAGTACACATTACTGGGGAAGCCAGCACAGCTTGTACAAGGAAAGGTCATGGGAGCTCCACAGACACATCCAAACTCCCTGAGGGACCGAATTGCTGGGTGGAGGGCTGTGGGGACCATGGTCTTGGGGAACATCTAGCTCAAATGGCATAACACAGTTTATAAAGGAAATGTTCTACATTCTGCCTTGGTGAGTAGCATCTGGGGTCTTAAAAACCTGTAAGCAGCCATCTAAGATACTCCACTGATCTCACCCCTTTGAGAGCATGGGAGAATGAAGAAAACAAGGTACAAGGAAAAGATTAGTCCAAGGGACTAATGGACCACAGCTATCATGGCCTCCACCAGACTGAGTCCAGTACAACTACATGGTGCCCGGCTACCACCACTGTCTGCTCTGACAGAGATCACAACAGAGGGTCCCAGACAGAGCTGGAGAAAAATGTAGAACAAAATTCTAATTCACAAAAAAAGACCGGACTTGCTGGCCTGACAGAGACTGGAGAAACCCTGAGAGTATGGCCCCCGGACACCATTTTAGCTCAGTAATGAAGTCACTCCCGAGGTTCACCCTTCAGCCAAAGATTAGACAGCCCCATCAAACAAAATGAGACTAATGGGGCACAACAGCTCAGGGACAGGGACTAGAAGGTAGGAGGGGACAGGAAAGCTGGTAATAGGGAACCGAAGGTCAAGAAGGGAGAGGGTTGACATGTCGTGAGGTTGGTAACCAACGTCATAAAACAGTATGTGTACTAACTGTTTAATGAGAAACTATTTGTTCTGTAAACCTTCATCTAAAGTACAATAAAAAAAAAACTAAAAAAAAAGAAAATGTACGTTGAGTGCCTGCCTGTTCCTTCTGTAAGACCCCTGGCTTTGGAGGCTCTCAAGACACTGTCCATTCTAGACCCGGATTTCATCACCGCCTCAGGGGCCTGTAGGTCTGGGGTTCATGAAGCCTGTCCCTCCCCACAGTGGGTGCACCACTAGGATTCCTGTCCACATCCTCAGAACTTCCTCAGAGGAGGGGTCCCACTTAACATACCCCAGTTTGATATCCGAGCAGACAGGTGTCCTGACAGCAGTGAAGGAGCTGACCCCCTGAGGAAGCTGAGGTCTCAAGTGATCCTCACCTAGATCATTACAGATATTTCATGGTTTTTGGGACAGTCTTCTCCTCTCCATTAATTTATTCATCCATTTACTATTTAGCAATTCTTTACTGTTCAATTTACTGAACATTATTAACAGGTATGCAATATTTGCCAGGCATTATGACAGGTTCTCAGAAGCAGTCATGGATCTCATCTGGAGGAGGCCACAGACTCTGGACCATGTTTAATTTTCCTGTTCATCTCCAGCCTGGGCCCATGGGTCATGGAATGTACTCAGTGAACACCTACTCCTGGGGGAATGATTAAAGTACCAGTAAGAGATGGGTCATGAGAAAGCAACAAGACTCTCCAAGTAGATGTATGCCAGGCTGGCGCTCCAAAGGCCTGGGCCATTGTAACTCTTTGGTGTCTCTGTGGCCACAATGCAGGGCAAGGATCACAAACCTGAAAGCCTTCAGGGGTCAGACAGGTCTCATAAATGTCCAAAGTGGGCCAGGTGGGGACTACGGCAAATGGGAGTGGGCCTGCCCCATAAAGATGGTATTTGCTACTTGGCTTCAGCCTACTGTTGCCAATGGAACTGTGAGCCAAGGGTAGCTAGACCTTCTGATTTTTTCAAAAGAAACTGGAAATCTGGATTTTTATTTCAAATCTCCAAATTTATCAGCATTGGCTCCTCATTTTAATTTTTTTTTCTTCAAAGCTCTGCCAGAACCAAACAGAACATGTCTGCCTGATGAATTCTGCCCAAAGGCTGCCAAAACCCCAAATGGGTCTGTAGAAAGGGAAAGGTGGAGGGCTATGTGTCCTGAGAGACCTAGGCTGAGGATCTGAGGGTCTGAGGGACCTAGAATGCCATCCTTCCTTGGGTCCAGGGCTGTGCTAGACACAAAGGAAGCCACAAGAGGAAGTTGAAGCAACAGTGCTGCCCTCCAGGAACTTACCATCTTCTTACAGAGACCTAGGTAAAGCAGCAAATGGTCAGGAAGCCGGGAGCAGGAGACAGTGCAGAGCCTCTGGGGGTTAGGGTAGCAGAGAGCAAGGTGGACCTGGGCTTCGGGAGGTCTTCACCTGAGCTTCCAGAGAACTTTCCAGAAAGTCAGGCTAGAGACTCTTGAGGATGAGGATTCTGGAGGCAGAGGCAGAGGGTCCAGTGAGCTGCAGGAGCAAATACAAATGGGGGCAACCTATGCTGGAGACCCCAAAGAAAAGCCAGGGCTTTACTTCCAAATGTCATGGCAAAAGACTCATTGACAGGGGGCAGGGCTATAGTAGGAGGCTTCACCGACACCCCCACACCCTGTGACCTGGCAATCTTGCGGTCAGAAGGGAAGGCAAGTGGGACAAATGGGACAACTAGGTTTGTGGGGGTTCAAGAGCCCCGACCTAAGAGTTAGGCAGGTTGGGGTATAAATCCCTGTTGTGTGACTTGGGACAGGCATGTAGCGGCTCCAAGCCTCGCTTTCTTTCACGAATTTGCGTGTCACCCTTGCGCAGGGGTCATGCTAATCTTCTCTACATTGTTCCAATTTCAGTACATGTGCTGCCAAGGGGGCATAAGCCTCAATTTCCTAATCTGTGAAATGGCTGCAGTAATTATGCCTGCCTCCTGGGATTGGAAAACTCATTGCCCTTGAGCTGATTCCGACTCACAGCGGGTAGAACTGCCCCATAGGGTTTCCGAGGAGCAGCTGCAGACCTTTTGGTTAGCAGCTGAGCTCTTAACTACTATGCCACCATGGCTCCTGGGATTGGGATGAGGATGAAACTAACTCCTGAAGGTCACATGCTCAGCCTGATGCTGACCCTGGGGGCCCCAGTGAGGGCCCTAGGATGCTTGCCTGTGTCTCTAAGCGATTTTTATCAGCGGGTCCACTGCCTGGAGTTCTTGTTCCGATTCCCAAGTAGGGTGGGGAAGGAGCACCTGGAGGGTGAAGCTGGTCCACATGTTTGCCGACATTTTTCTTGTCGCTGCTTCAGGAAATGGCATCGATTCTGGAGAAGGGGCAGGACTGCCCATTTTACGGGCGGGGGAGGGGGTGGAAGCGTCGGGCTCTCCCCATCCCTTCCCTAGGGAGGCAAGGTCGAACCTCTGCTTAGCTGTGGGCAGGAACCACAGGGGTTGGGAGTAGCTCTTCCCCCCAGGATGGACTCTCTTCACCCAGTCCTCACCTGGGAGGGAGCAGAGATCCACGGTTAAACATTCCTTGGGGGAAGCGGGTGCTGTGAGGAAACCCTGCTGCTCCCCCAGCTCGCCCTCCAGGTTCCGGAGGAATCTGTGTGAGACACAAATCTGCCCAGGATCTTCATTCCCTTAAAATCTTCCACTGGCAGGGCTGACAAAGCCTGGGTGGCCCCAGCCACCTCTCGAGCTTCACCTCCCCGCCTCATCCCGACTATTTCACAGCTCTGAGCCTTTGCTAAAGCCGGGCCCTCTAGCCTGGGGCGTCCTCACCTCTTCCCCTAGCGGTGCGGGCTGGGGCGGGGAAAAGCCTGCTCCTCCTTACAGTCTGTCCTCGTGCTTCGCCCCTTCTCGGCTCCCGCACCCCACCCCAGCCCCACCTCTGGGGCCGAGCTCGTCACTCTTCCCCTTGCTGCCTCAGCAGCCATTATATGTTGTTGTCACCAAGTTATCACAGTGTTTTCCTGTCTGCTTGTCCCTCCGCCCTCACTCCACCTCAACCCCTGACTGGAAGCTTCTTGAGAGCAGGAAAGCAACCTTGTCCATCTTGGGAACTGTAGGGCGAGCCCCTTGCCTAGGGCATCCTGGCCACTCCTGAAGGGAGGGACGGCTGGGCGGGGTCGCGGGCGAGGGGGAGCTGGATGGCAGAACTAGAGCAGCGGATGGGGCTTTTTTAGAACCAGCGGGGGTGGGGGTGGGAGTGCGGGGAAGTTTGTACTTCGCCCTCTGCAGCGGGCTCCCGCGGAGCCCAGGCCACCCGGCCCGTTGCCCGCGCCCACCGGGCCAGGTGATCTCGAACCTTCTCCCTCTCACACCCCAACAACAAACAACCCTCCGCGCTCTCCCTCCGGAGAAAGGAGGTGGAGCCTGACCTCAGCCGGAGGCTGCCGCAGCTGCTGGGGGGAGGGCTCGGAGCTCCAACCCTTGGGGGAGCCTGTCCTCCAGGGAGTGGCAGGGGTGGGGGCCTTAGCGGGCTCCCAAGCGCCAGGGAAGCCCTCCCCCGGCCGGCACGACCCGCCTAAGATGAAGGGAGGAAGGGCAGAAGGGGGTGGCTTCCGTGAGTGCCCGCCTTCACTCTGTCCCTTTCTCAGGCCGGAGTGGCCCTTGAAGCCCCTCCCCCAATTTACACCCACCCTTTCTCGCACCCTGCAGTCCCCAGGGCAGGGTGAGACTAGGTGCCAAGTAAGCAGGAGGGCGAGGATGCAGCTCGGAGCGCTGGGCTCCCGGAGACGAGGTGTGCCCATCCCCCACCCCCTTGACGGGGGAGGGGGTAGGGCTGGGCATGTGAGAAGGGCCACCAGGGACTCTCAGACTAAGGTGGGAGAGAGCCTGAAGTGGGGCTTCTGTAGTCTGCAGCTGTGGGGACTGCGGTGGAGGCAACTTGGGTGAGGGACAGAGAGTGCACCCCAAGGGGAAGGCCTGGGGCCCCAAAGAGGGTAGGAATTCAGCGTTGGAAGGAAGAGAAGGGGAATGCGGGAGCAGCTTTTGCAGGGAGAGGCAGCCTGCAAAGACCTCCCCTGGCCAGCAATCTGGAGGCTAGCGCTAGACAGATGGGGGGTTTGGACACGGTGCAGTGGACATGTGTTCCCCAAAGTCTGAGCACATGTCACACACACACCCCTCCCCGTTCCTCTGTGTGCCTAGACTGGGTCCCACCCAGGCCCCCCTTCACCTTGACCTCCCTCCCAGACTGTAGCAGCGGGTCGCACCCTTTGGCAGTCAGAGGGGGCAGAAGTCCAGCTCTTTGCGGGACACTCAACAGCTGGCTCCTTGGTGGTAGAAGGGGGCTGTGCCCCGCTAGCTCAGAGTCACCGGGGGAGCACTTTTGCCTCTAGGGAAAGGGGCCGCAGCAGGTAATGACCAAACAACCTTCCACACTTGGATATGCCTGGGGGCAAATAATTTCTGGAGATCCCTTTAAGGAAGGGGGGGTTCTGATCCCTTTAAGAGGGAGTGGGTCAGAGCAAAAGGACTATAAAAGTCCAGCTCTCTATTCCCCTACCCCTGGGGGCTTCCTATGATGGGGGAGGGGCGAGTTCTGCAGCCACATGTAATTGGTGTCCTGGTGTCCCTCCCCCAGAGAGCTGTGCCCTTCAGTTTATGCAGCGTGGCTGAGGGGCCAGGTGGTTCAGTAACTGTTCCCCGGGACCTAGAATTCCGGCACCCTTGCAGAGAAGGGCACTGCCCCACTCCCAGGAAAGGTGTGGAGACCTGGGTGTGGAACGGAGGAAGGGGAAAGTAGTCACTGCCACTACAGGGGTTGCGCTGCCTGCTGGGGTGCCCTGCCCGGGTGCCAGGTGGCTGGATCTGAGGGCAGGCGGTCTGCAGGGACTGCGGCGGGCGGCAGGGGGAGGTGCCTGGCGGCTGGACTGGAGATGACGGAGCAGCCAGTCTGTCCCGGCTGTCAGTCTGGTTGTACGTGGTGGGGGAGGGGTGTGCATCGTGTTCTCTCTGGATGTTTTCCTCTCTGCAACTCCTTCTCTCATCTCTCCTGCTTGGAGGCAGTTAACCCTTCCTGATGGGTCTGGAGGTGCCTGGGTAGAAGGAGCCCCTGGCCCGGCGCAGGGAGGGGGTGGCCCTGGCAATCTGCTGGATCCATTTCTCTCTCCAGACCTAGCACCAAACCCTTTTCCACGGGGGAGCTCTGGGCTGCTGGGCGTGCCAGGGTGAGGAAAGGTGACGGGCCTGGTGTGGGCATAGCTGCCCTGGTGGGGTGGGGTGGGATGGGGTGGGGGCAGCACTCGCTCAGGAAAGGTCGGAGGAGCTGAAGGAAGGAGGAAGAGGTGGAGTCCTTTCTAGGTGTGGAAGGGCTCTGGACAGGGAAGGAAGGCAGCCAAGTCCCAGAGGTCCCTAGAACTGGGGTGAAGGAGAGGCTGAAAGGTCTCTTTGCAGGACAGGCAGTCCGTGCAGCCCTTGGCCTCCTCTCTGCTGGCTTGTTGACCAGCTTTAACGAGCAGCATTGGGGACAGGAGGGAGGGACAGGGCGCTGGTCAGGAGCAGGTCAGTGGGCTAGCACAGGAGGAACACCAAGTGCCTCTAGCCAGCTTGTGGCTCCAAACCATAGCCCGCTCAGTCAGGGCCTCCAGGGGCAAAGGAGACAGCCCTGGAGGCAGGCTGCGCAGCCTGGAGTGGGCTCCCATGGCCTCTCCCTCCCCTCCAGGAGATCTTCACCCCTGGATGCCTGGGAAAAGTCCAGTCCTCCAACCTTGCCCTGCCACCACTTCCTGGGCTGAGCGTGGGCTTCCTGCTGCTTGGGTGTCCTTCCCTATGGCCAGGTACATGTCTCTTCTGACCCTGTCGGCCTCAGTCCCTGCCTGTTAGCAGGCATGAAGCAGCTGCCAAGGTCAGCATAGTCTGGGCTGCTGACAGGAACCCTGTCCCCTCTCCTGCCAACCTGGCAGGATGGTGGCGTTACCGCGGTTATCCCCTCCTCCCACCTCCGATGGGGCCTGGGGGGAGGGTACCTGGGGGCTAATCAGCTAATGGGACAGCCTGGGAAGGGACAGGGGGTTTTTGTGAGGTGGCGGGTGGGTAGCGCTCCCTGGTGTGGGGGCAGCTGCTAGGAATCTTTGTCCTAGGAGGTTCAGGGAAGGGAAAAACCATTTTGTGTCCTACTTTGATAGGTTTGGGGATTTTGCTTTCCCTAAGGGTGGGAGGTGAGAAAAGTTAGGAGCACTTGCCCTAGGAACCTAGCCCTTTGATAATTGTCTGTGTCAAGGTCTTGGTCATAGCTTTTAGCTTCCAGTCACACAGTCCTCCTGCTAGGCAGACCCTTCCTTTCACTGTGGTCCCCTTGACAGCTTTGGAGGCAGATGGGGAACAGTTTTTTGGGTTTAATTCCCAGCCATAGTGGCCAGCAGCTCTGATTCCCTTCAGGGCTGCCTGGGTGAGTGCTTGAGTCCCAAGTTCTAGGAAGAAAGGCTGGGCACTGGGGGTAGCCCAGGAGACCCTCAGGAGGGACCCCTCAGCCACACTCCAAGGCTGGGTGCCTTCTGCCCGTCTAGGAGGGCTCAGCACTCTGGGGCGTTTTCTCTCTGCCCAAGGCACTCCTGGGCCCAGCCCCTCCCTGGGCTGCTCTCAGCGCTCCGGTGACTTGACACTACCCTTTCTGCTGCTGCTCCTTTTACCTCCCAAAGCTCCCCTCCCCCGCCTGAATTGGGAATGAGGCTTTGTTCAGGGGCGGACTCAGCATTTCTCAAGAACCTACTAAGTGCACATCTAGTGCTTGTTTAAGTGAAGCCCTATGCGGGCGCTGGCGCTTCAGAGGTGCCCAAGGCATAGCCCTTTCCCGCACCTCACAGGGACTCTCCCGCCCCCCACTCCGCCCGTGTGACCTCAGCCTGCCGTGCCCACCCACCCCGCTGACCCCGCGAACGTGCTCGGGCTTGGAAAGGCACGTCTGTGGGTGTGAGAGACGGAGCCACTGCATTCGATGACGAGGGGAAAGCCAGGTAAGTGTCTACACTTGGTCCCATCCTGGCTTGAGGACGCGAGGAGGGAGTCCAGCCGAGGCTGTCGGGCTGCCCGCCCCCTCCCCCTTCCCCCGGAGAGCTCTGATGATCCCCGCGGTGGTGGAAGAGGGTGTGTGGGTGTCAAGGACTCACAGACCAGGCTCTGCTGTCAGCTGGAAATGGATGAGGGTGCCAGACTGCTTCTGAGAAGAGTGAAGTAGGAGCTGGGGTGAGGGGTGGTAGGTGAAGGGGAGAAAGGAAAAAGAGATGCGGGTGAGGGGTTACCGAGCCAGGACCGACCTTGCTTGAAAGGAAAGGAGACGTGGCAGGCAGGGAAGTCGGAAAGATGAGGCAAGGGCGGGAGGGGCTTCTCGGCAGTCGGGGCCCTTTCGCTGGAGTCTGGGGCCCTTTTTGCAGGAAAAGGGGGTTGTCCACGCTTGATTTTCGGCTGGTGTTCCCGAAGCTTTGCCCTGGGGGCAGAAGCCGCTGGTGAGGGTGGGGGTGTTCCTCGGCCCGCAGTTTTCTCCGGTGAGTGTTGGGGAGGAGGGTAAAGGCGAAGAGGGATGTAGAAGGGTGACGGTCAGGGCGGGGGCGATATAAGATTTCTCGGGGGGGGGTAGCAGCTGGGGGATTGGGGCTCCAGGGTCGGGTCACCATGGGATACGGGCTCAGGCCCTGGAGACGAAAAGAAAATCCAAGAAACCGGCCAAGGAAATCAGTCCCCCACCACCCTTGGCACCATACCCCTCCCCCCAAGCCCCGCCACTCCCCGCACCGCCTCCCCCGGCCGCCTCGTGCTGCCCCCTGCGTTGGGACGACCGATCCACGGTTCTGATTGGTCGGAGACTGGGAGGGGGAGCCGAGGGCCGGATTGGCTGGCGGGGCTAGCGCAGGGCGGGGCGGCTGATTGGCGGAGCTGGCCGAGGGGGGCGCCGCTGATTGGCTGCGGACGAGGAAGCAGGAAGGAGGGCGGTGGAGGCTCCGCTCTCGGGGAGTTTGTGGGGGAACCGCGAGCGGCGTAGCGGATCCCGGAGCCCGGCCCCCGCCGCCCGCCCGTCCGGCTGCCTGCCCCGCCCG